ATTTTTCATCATGTCTGATGGACAGACACTTTTATTTTCCATCATGTCTAATGGACGGACACTTTTATTTTCCATCATATCTAATGGACAGACACTTGTATTCTTCTCCTGTGGATGACTTACCGCTCGCTCAATTGACTTGAAACTATGGATATATAATCAGATAAATTGCTTTTTTTTGAATCCAGTAACTACTGGGTGTTCTGTGAATCCATGTTTGAATGGAGGTACATGTGTTCCAAGTGGTACCTCCTTCAGATGCGAGTGTCCCTCTCAGTATACTGGAACACAATGTAACACACCAGGTATATGCATACTTCACAATTTATCACCTATATACAAAGTGGATAAGTTATAATTCATATTCTTTCAAATTTAATTGCGTGAGCATGTTAATTCTCATCGTGAAATGACATCATGATAATTTTTCTAACAGTGGTTAATGTATGTGCAAGTTACCAATGTCAAAATGGTGGAGTATGCCAACCTTCAGGCTCTTCTTGGAGATGTGACTGTCAAGATGGTTACTATGGACAAAGTTGTGAATACCAAGGTACACCACAGTGGACAGCATTAACTATTAAATTTATCATCTTTTTATTCAGCTTTATTTCTGTTTTTCTGCTGCTTCTTCTGAATTTGTTTTCAGATCTCATCACTAATATTCACTACTCTCTGCACATATTACTAATAATGCTTGCTTACAGGATACTCTTCGAGATATGCAGAATTTGTATCATCAAGTTGCTTTAATGTTGCACTCTGATGGATTATGTTTGTGGTATTGGTGTTTTAGACTAGTTCACAGTTCATGAGTATTAAACTAGAGAGCCTGAATAGTCAAATGTGCCCAAATAGGGTATTGATGACTGTTATGTTGTGAGCTACTACGTGTGGACATGATCGGCATTGATTCCACATACTGAAACTGTACATACTGTATTTACTTTATTAGAAGTGCATCTCCAACAGTTACATATATTGTATACTGGCTTAATTAAATTATGACTATAGTCACAGCTTGCGCTACGAATAGAGCAAATATGGTAACACACTAGTCAAATAATGAAGACTGTCATCTCATCGGAGTACAACTCTAATTGACTCAAAGCATGATACTTACTATACACTCTGTATTACTATTATTCATAATCTTTATATACCAGTATATATATCGCTTGGCTCTCATAAATATTGCATGAATTAATTACAAATATTTATTCTGTTGAATTAAATAACTGATATATAAACTTTATTT